TTCCTAAAAGAGCATTAGTGAGGTTCTAGTCCTCATGGCAGTGGGGTGCCACCTCCTGGTTCTGCCACACAGTGTAATGCATGTGCTCAATGCACATACCAGATCCCCGTGTCACACATACAATGCAAAGGGGGAGGGTGCAACATGCAAAGAATAACTTACAAACCCAAATGTTTAAGACAACATCTGGATAGAAATCAGCCTCAGTTTTCTAACAGAAATGTAATTTTTATAGAGATATCCCTCCTTATAAAACCTTGTAAGTGTATTTTAGAAAATTACATTAATAAAATGCAAGATTGAGTGGTTATTTGAAGTATAACATATAGATCATTTTATTGCATGTGTGTGCATACTTAGATCTTATCTGAAGTTATAAATTAGATGAGTAGACTGCTCATAGCCATATATGATGAGCAATTTTTTTTAAAAAAACCCTATTATATAATTAATAAACACAGGTTTGAACATATGAACTAATGAGTGCTTATCACATAGTTATAAAATAGGCTGTTTAACAGCTGTCTGTATAAACTAAAAAGTACTTATTAATAACTATCCCTTATAAAAAGAAGAAATAAACCTTTCCAAATTATTTAATAACCTACTTCTTAAAAGTTTGATATGCAAGAATATAGTATTTTCCCCAGAATTACTCTAGCTAATATCCGCAGTTTAGATATTAATCACCTTTCACCACATGCATCTTTCGTAGAGTCTAATAGAAATACCAAGGGATATCAACTGATGTCAATAATCTGCTGCTGCACACAAATCATGACTACTGATTAGTAAAGCAATTATCATATTAAAAGAGTTCAACAGGGCTCAACATACTGTAAAATTAGAAATCGGTCCATACCACTGCCATTATATAGAACATCATTGATTGGATGTACCAAATGCTGGCCTTGATGACAATTGATCACGATGAACTCTGCTCACAGAGGAGTCTGGTACACTAATTGAGGAGCCATCGTTAAACAGAATAATAAATAGAGGAAGAGGGGAGAGGAGAAATGGCTACAAAGCTAGGGTCCTTCCTTGTGTGTACAACAAAAACAATAAGAAAACAAAGAGCCAGGAAGGCCTCTGTCTCTACTGTATGCTCACTAACTTCTAAGCCTACTTTTCCAAAACCAAATGAACCTGTGAACCCCTCACAGGTCATCTCCACAATCTGCACCACAGCTGGGAAACAAGCTCAAAAGAGCCTGAACAACACTTCAGCACAAGCATTTCCAAAACCAAATCCCACAGAGAGGATAGAAAGCCCAGAGGTGTCATCCATAATATATCTGTGACCTAAATCCATTGGCCTACTTGAAATCAGGCCTCAGACTGCACGTGTAACCAAAATATGTTCCTTGAGGCTATAACCAAACACCAGGGGAGAAGCCACCCAGGCTGCTTTCCTTGTTTTGTTCATGGCAAGCTGCACGTGAAAGAGTTTCAGTGAACTGCAGGCTTGTTAAATTTGGCACTAACTGTTTGCTGTTCTCACTACAGCTCAAGGAAATGTATGCTGGTAGGAAAAAAGTTCAGAACATCTCCCTTATTATCCTGAAAACTTGTTTTCTTCTGAAAGTATCATCAGGCTCAGATCAGGAGCAAACTGCGTCAAGGCACCAAAGAAACTCATCACGGCAAATCCAAATGTCCTACTGCCTTCAGGTTTGTTGCCTCTACTGAGTTTTAAAACAAAAATAAAAGCCCAGGGGTTAGACTCATACCCAACTTTGAATGAACTGAAGGACAGAAGTAGTTCTAACTTTGGTTTGTCACAGGGTAGAGATGACCTGGGGAAACCCCCCACAACACAGGCTGCTGAAACTTCGAACAAGCACAAGCTTTGCTGGTATTAAACCACGACCAGTAATCAAAGATCCCGTGCTGGGGGTACGCAGCATTATTTCTATGTTTTCATGGTTTCCTGGAAATGTAGGAGAAATAACAGGCTCATTTAGCGGCATTTAGGGCGAGCAGGTGGTGCAAGGCGGAGTTTACTACTAGTTGAGTGGACGCCACCAGATGGCCCCCGTTGCCCATTTCTTCTGACGCTCGTGATGCAGTCACAGGAACGTACCTTGAGCCGCGAAAAAGAGCTTCCCAGTAACGCAGAGCCGGTCGGCAGAAGTCGGAGAGAGATGGGCATTTCAGACGTTCCCAAAGGTAAGACACAGCTTTAGAAAAACACATTTGGATCCAAGGGAATTAAGGACCTGAGCTACATCAATCGTTGTTAACATGCAAGTACATTACAGTGAAAGATTATCACACGTTTTAGCCAACTTCTGTTCAGTTGTCACAATACAAGAGGTCATCAAGTTGCTTAACACTACATCTTCTAATAATCCACAACATTTCTATTGTTACAAGTAACTCATGTTTCTCATGTCCACACTATGCTCCTAATACATAGAAGGCAGTTGGTCATCCCTTTATATACATTCTCTGTGTGTGTATAGACAGAAAAAAATATTTATATGTAAATATATATAAAAAGAGACCTCAAAACTCCTGGTCCCATCTCGTATTTGAGTCAAATACGCTCCCAGAGGCCCAGGAAATTTAGAGAACCTTCCTGAAAAACAGGCTCAAATACATTAAGGCAATGGTGGTCATTTACACAGAAATTCACCTTACACTGTTTAACACTGAATAATTACAATCTGTTTCAGGTTACTTTACCCTTGCAGCATGAATGGGGGTAACATCCAAATAATCTCTCCTTAATCCACAGATGAAAAGCCAGAAATAAGACAGATGTTGAAGCTATTTGAGTCTACAGATTTAGTTTAAAGGGGTCAAAACAAAACTCACCCTTACAAATTCTACTCCCAACCAAGGAAAAATTAGGTAATAGCAATGCAAACATTTAAAAACATGTTTTCAGAGGACTCCTTCTCAAGCTGTGATTTTGGAAGCCTGCCTAAGGAAGGAGAGGCATGTTACACGCAGTGACCCAGCCTTTATGGGATTTTGTGGAGTACCCTTACTTGTTCAAGGCTTCAGGACTCTAAATACAGGGAACACAGCTCCAGCCTGAAACAGGATAGCACCCAAGTGACTTAAGGTCTGGAGTCACCCCAGAACCCACACTGTGTACAAAGATTCTGCACTTGCGCGTTGACCATGCTGCAGTTTTATTAAGGACCTAAAGGAGGAGTTTTTTGAATATATCTGGTTTTCCATCCACACAGCCAATCAAACAGTGATGTCTCTGAAAGTTAGAAACAGCAACTATGTTCAGCTCTCTGACTCACTCACATAGCAAGAGGGTATGATTTTACTGTTACCCTGCCCTCCTGCTGGAGGTGTAAGACACACTTTTCTGTGGTGTCCTTTTGGATAGTAATCAATTCCTCTATAACCTTCTCACTCTAAGGGCAGTATACAATTTCAAGTAAAAGTAATTGCCAAGGCCACTGCTGATATATTCTGTATTTCATTTGCATTTTAAAAGAATGGAGGAGGTGGAAGGTAGGTAAAGAAAGCATCACTAAAAACCACAAACATTTCTTTAAAGCAGGACAAGACAAAATAGTCTCTGTTTCAAGTTAGGCTGGTATTTTTTGGCAGCTAACAAAGCACACTTCACTCATCATTAAGAAGTTCTTGTGTTCATCACTTGCTTTACATTTCCCTATTCTGTACGTATGTACCTACTTCACAGAATTTTCAGCTTCATTTGTCAAGACAGCCAAAAAATGGCAGAGGAAATACTGACAATCCCACCATCCTCCCACAGGTGACATGTAATACTCATACCTTCAGGGGTCTGAGCTATACTTTTACAAGAATTGGAGTCATAGATATGAGGATCACAGGTTCAAAGGCTCCTCTTCTCTTTGTTAGCTGGGGAAGTGTAGCAGGCTGGGGAAAAAGGCACATCATCTCCTAATTTCTTACAGAAGCAGAGCCCACATTAGAAAATGTCTCTTCCAACAGTCTTATCTCCCCATATTTTCCTGTCTCTGCCCCCTTTTTTTTTTGCTTACTCAGTTTCCCCTTTTACCTCTGAGCAGGAAGAAAGCACATAGTAGTGTGGGAAGGATGCTCCCCACACTTGTCTTACTGCAGCCTCTGTTAGTGACTCTCAGACAACAGTCACACAGAAAGAAAATCTCTCAGTTTTAAACTCTGGCACACTGAAGAGATTTAACAGTTATCAGGATTGTCTACCACATTTCTTCACATTTTTATACCTAGAAAATAAATCAGCAGCTTCAGCAGCCACGGAAGCACAGTTCACTACACTTAGGAGCCAACAGCCTTCTTCCACAGCAGGAGAGCCTGAGGCAATTCTGCTCTGTAGACATACTGCTAGTACTCTCCCTACCTGAGTGGCTAAAAGCTTTGTAGAAGAGCAGTTTCTTCTACTGCTTACCTATGACACCAAAATTTGGACTGACTAATCCACCAAAAGGATTCACGTACCTGTAACAAAGCCCAGCCTGGCCCCAGAAGAGGAGAGCTCAGTTCCATGCCACTTCTGTGCCATGTAGCCTCAGGGCAGTTATCATCTCTGTTAGCCCCTCCTCTGAATATTAGTTTTCTAGACTCTCCAGGGCTGGGCAAAGCTGTATCTGTGCATCTGTGCCTCTGCAGGGTGTGTTTGTGATCACCACAACAGATCCTTCATCTCTTCATCAATGGGCTCTCATGTAAACCTTATTAACTGTCCTTACCAACATCTCTGTCACAGAACACCTTGGGTAAAATAACACCTATTTGTGTGTGTTTCATTAGGGCTATTCAGATCATTTAAGAAGCCAGATCCTTCCATATGGGAGCTACTTACCAGGAGAGCAAATATTTTATACCAGTAAATACTGTAAGTGATGGAAATATTTCCATCTCATACTTCTTGTGTGCAGTTGTTCTATTTATTTCTGGAGGGTGGGCTTGTCAGAGAGCAAATCCTTAGCCTTCATATCGAGTGGTAACATAAGCAGGGGGCTCTCCAGAAATGGTAACACAGGACAATGGACGTCACATCAAATGTTTTCTTTAATTTGTGTAATGCATACAAGCAGACACAGAAAGGGACATAACAAAACTAGAAGATAAAATGTAATTTAAAACCACAATATATTTTCTTTGACACTGTCCTTGGCTGTGACTAATTTACCTCAGCATCACACACCCAGGCATTAGGGGCATGCTGCCCTGGACACTGTTGTGCTCTTTGTCAGAACAGAAAACTTTCTACATTGCTGTCCCTCTTTTCTTGTGACATGGAGGGGAAAGTCAGCACGTGTTTTTTTTTCCCCTCTGACATCCAGCACTTCCTCTTCAACACACAAATTGGAAAACATATTTTGGTGAACTGCCTAATCTCCTATGTGAGGAGCTCTCCACAGCAACATGATTACTGTGGCTGACAGGAACACTGCTAGTCCAAGTCACTGAGACAGCAGGCTAGGACTACAGAGTTGTTTTGTTAGAAGCTAACAGGTAACCATTTAAGTCCTCAAGGTATTGTAAATGTTTTAAAATGGTGTTTTAATGAGCCTAAGTAATTTTATTGCCGATTTTTCTCATTCAACATCGGAGAGAATTTTACTAGTAGATTGTATATTTTTCTATTTATAAAATTAGAGTCTTTTGCATTAAATAAGGATATCTCTTTATGGTTTCCCTGCTGTGTCATATGCAAAATATCTTACAGGGACAGAAGGAAAACATGTTTGGCTTCATACAAAACCCAGTCTATTTTCTGGTGGAGATAAGTCATGGAAAAATGAGATAAAATAAATACCGTTTAACAAACATTTCCGTTTCCCACAGATCCATTTTCTATTACTATCTGGCAATATTTTTTCTGTTGCTCTTCCTTGAAAGACTCTTTCACCTTTTTCCTTTTTAGTCCCCCATCCCTGAAAGATACAGAAAAGAAACAGCCTTGAGCTCACTTCAGGGTCAAGGCAGAAAAACATTGCAATACTTAGACCGCGTAGTTTAACGTTGGATTTTGTACAACAATGCTAAATGATCTGTACTGCCAAGTCTTACCACACAACAATGCCCTTTCTTAACCCAGCATTTAACAGTCAAATAATTCATTTTCACCTAACACTACCTGCTGGCTAGATCTACCTGTCAGCTCTATTTCTCTCTATATACTATATTATTCTATTTATTCTAATAGAATTGTTCAAGGAATATTTTCTGGATTTAAAGTCAGTAAGGGTGATGGACTACAAGTGCAAGCAAAGCAAATCTGGAAGAAGTTTTAAAAGATTCCAGGCTAATGTTTCAGAATACAGAACACCTTAAAAGGCTTTAAACCCAATCTCAGAGGTGTTGCTTCTTACCAAGGAAGCACAGACATTCCTCCCCGAGCAGCAATGACAGCCTTGACTCTGTTGGCAAAGTGAACAGCATCTTCTTCTTCCTGAAAAATATATTAATTATTTGCTTTACAACATAAATGTTTTTTCTGTGCCTCACTTAAAGACATTTTGTCAGACAGCAGGCACTTCCAGACCCACAAGCCAGATGTGACTTGCAGGGCTGATCCTGGGGAACGCTGCCCAGTTTGCCACCAGTCAGTGCCAAAAAGAACTAAGTGGGAGGCTCTCTGGTTTCTGGGGCAATCTCAAACAACACACAGTATGAGGTCACAGGTCTGGCCAGAGCAGGGGATGTGTCTGCTCCCAGTACTTCAGCATGAGTCTGAAGCTGGGAACACACTGACAGGATCACCCTTGCAGGAGACGGGGTTCTTGAACAGGGTTGGGCCTGGTGCATTTAAATTTTTGTGAGCTCACAGGACTGTGCCCAAACTTCAGAGAACTGAAGATACATGCATTACAGCAGCTTCCCTGCCAAAATTAGGGCTGAGCAAAGACCACAGTAGGCAATACTAAACTAGGGCTTTGCTAGAGAAAAAGGCTTGAGCACTTTGTCAGAGTCAGGGTGGCATATAGGGCAGTGGGCTGGGAGGCTCTGCCAAGTTGTGGGGTAAAGCTGCTGGGCAAAGGATTAGCTGGATATGCTGCAGGGCTGAGAAACAAGGTGGTAGGAGGAAGCTGTTACAGAGAACAGGGTGTTGGGAAGATGCTGGTAGCAGGGGTGACATAGAAGGCAGAAGCGACCCTGTATGGAGTGAAGAGAAGGCCTGAATCTATGTATCACTTCTAGAGTAAAAACAGGAGGTCTATGCCAGACTGAGGGGCAGGACTCCTGCAGCATAAACCTATGTCTCTTCTAGTCTCAAGGATCAGAAGAAAGCAACTGCACCTGCACTCAAGTAAAGGTTTTAGCAGCAATAGGGAGCACGGTGCAGGAACGTTTGAATATCTTCAAGGTTAGTTTTTACTTGAAGATAACTAACCCACATGAATCCGTGCTCAATTTTAAGACTGTAATGTTGCTTTCTAGTCTTAGTCCATTAAGTTATCAATAAAAATTCACAAACACTATGCACAGTAACACAGACAACATTTTAAAAGCATTTTCAAAACTTAGAAAAGCATAAGTACTTCTTGGACCATCGGTGGCAGGTACCATACGTTACAGACAATAGCCCAGCTGGTCAACAGATTGAAAGCATAGGTCATCATAGAATGCTTTGTGCTGTTCCAGAAGGCATCTCCAAAGCGGGGGTCATACTGGAAGACAAGAAGAATAAGCACAAGGGCATGATCTGCTACCTTAGTTTAAATCACATAAGCTGCTTTTTTTTCAGCCACAAAGTCACAGTTCAGCTTATTAAAAAGGGGTAAATCTACTCACACCTCCTAAAAGCATCAGAGTAAAGCTCCAACATTTATTAAAAGTTTCTAACATTTTTCATTTACAAGCCATGCAGGACCTCAAACTGTAACAGACACATTGAAACACAACTGTAACAAGAGATTTACTTGAAATGTAAAGACTTGTCATCTACAGACATGCTGACTACGAAGGTTTAATGAAAAATGTTCACACCACTTTTAATGATTTCCTTAAGATTAGGCAATGTTAGAGTTCCAGAAAAAGTAACTAACATATCTAGATTTAGGGCAACTTGGCTAAAGCTACTCAGAAAGACTTGGAAGTGCTAAGCAAAGTGCCTTTATCCTCAGAGCTCACAACAGCCAGGAGCCCTAGGACAGAGTGAGCAAGCAGAACTGAACACACAGCACGACAAGTGCCACTGTACTTTTCAGGTTGCTCCTAACCAGTTGCAAAGATCCTTGATGAAACATTTCCCATACTGCACTGAACATTGCAAACCACCAAGTTTTCGTTTTCTCAGGGTTTATTCGGTATCTCATTCACACCAAACAAGCCCCTTTATAAGGTTTACACATGAACACCTTCTCTGACATGAGAAGCTTTTGCAAACAATTCTTCCACATTTGGAAAACTGCAGTTACATTACCTTGATTGCTACTGGATGGATGGTCCCTCCTACCTCAAAGCTTCCCTTCTTAAACATCATTACTGATGTGTTGTTAATGCAGGTACCTGGCCAGAATTAAAACAGATGAAGAGCTTAATCCATTCTGAGAAAAGTATCTGCAAATGAATCATAAACTGTCTTAAGGAGACTTAAGTTGCCAAAGGAGAAAGTAAGCTTTAGTTCTGGAACAAAATCCCAGAGCCTGTACTCTCTTCCATTATGTTATATGCTAAAGCAAATAGACTGTCATAAAACTGTTGTAAGATACTAGAACTTTTAATATCTCACAAGAGCTAATTAATTCTACAAACTAAAAACAAACACCTCACTTTTAAAGACTGGATATAATGAACTGCACTCAGTGGCAAGAAGTGAAAAGAGCAATAAAATCAATATAGTTGTTTCCTACCTTCTGGGAAAATTAAAATGGGTAATTTGGCCTTATCTGCAATGTGTTCTCTAATTCTGTGGAGAGAAAATAAAATTTCACTGTATATTTCATATTTGTATTTGTCCAAGCATTTAAACATCCATTACCTCCTTCACAGGACAAGAAAAGCCCTTGCCCTGTTGTCTTTTGCCAGGCAGTAGCCTCAGCTGGGACATGTGATAGTGAGACACAGGCCTGAAACTCTCTCTTGCTAATTACAGAAGTACATTTTTTACAAAACTGTATGAAGTTTCATTTTACCATTTTAACCTAGTTAACATGAAGCCAGAAAATGGTGGTACTTGAAGTCTGTGAAAATAACTTCCCAGATTTCAGCTATGAACACAGTCAAACTTGCCTGACTGAAGTATATTCCATATTTCTAGTTTTCATGCCTTCTAGGTACATAGCATCAGTTTTACATGTATCTAATGATTCTCCACATCTAGTCAAGTGACAGGCTGCTATCTTACTACATTAGCTGCATCACTTAAAAACAAATGTATCACCACTAAGCAGATGACTGACACCAAAATCTGTTGTTTTCCAAGACACCCATCTTTCCTATGACTCAAGAGCATGCAGCTCCTCTCCAGTCTGCATTAAAGAACAAAAGCAAAATATCAGATACCATAAAATAAAAAAAAATTAAGAAAAAGAGAATGATCTAGCATAGGGAACCCTTTCCAATTTTCTAAGGACAAACTGTCATAGATACTTCATGTTAGCAGCATTGCACCCTTTCTCATGAAGATTTAGGACGACTAAGAACAGTCTCTGTAAACACCTGATTCTATAAGAACTGTCATACTGAGTCAATCCTGTTTATGTCCTTAAAGGCCAACATGTTTTCTCTGCCAGGAATCAGTATTGCATGTCTTGAGAGCAGTATAGGCATTAAGCAAAAATTTTATGATACTACTCCAGGTGCTCTTCCAGCTTCTAGCAGCTAGGTGGTACCTTGGTTTGGGGGGTTTTAATTCGCTGCAGTCACTCTCTCTTTATGCTGTGATAACACCAGATACAACCAGCTTTGTTGCTCAGAGCTGGTGAGTAAATGTACCAGGACAAGCTATGATCTGGGAAGCAGAAGTGCAGACAGAACTCTGGTTTCTGTCCTGACATCCCAAATCACAGCCTCAAAACTGAATGAATAGGGTCCTGCCTGTGGCAGACAGGGCAGTTGTAGCGATGCAGAAATTCCCAGAGGTTACGTGGCAAATGATCAAACGTGGAGTAGAATTATGAGAATAGTTTGGGCTGGAAGGGACCTTAAAGATGATTGCTACACCCTGCACCTTCTCTGACAGAGCAGTTCCAAACCTTACACTGCTGACAACCTACAGCTGCCCACCAAGGAGAGATGCAGGGTAAGAGCAGCCTCAGCTTATGCTTGAACCTCACAATTACTAGACCTGACCAGACAATTAAGCAAACAGCTCACACTACCTTACTTTTTCCTCACCAGATGACGGTCTTTCATTTCCGAACGTTCAAATACGACATGCTGACCGGTCCGCATGCAAGATTTTTGAATGAGTCCTATAAGCCCTCCGTGTGCCTGGCCAACCTGCAAGACCAAAAGACACTTGTTACTATGCAAACGCACACACACATCTGTTTCTAAGCTTCATCACAAATTGTACCAATTCTCTTGGTCATAAATGCACACACACTTGCCAGCATGTGCTTTTTTGCAGTCCAAAATGCGAATTTGAATGCTATCAAATCCCTCTCTTTTGACCAGTTAGTTTATCCTCTTCCCCAACACTACATCTACAGGCATCTCAACAGTACTGATATTTACCAACTCTCTTGTTCATACCAAGGAGTAGCATCCATCGCTGACCAGGATTACGACATCTAATGGAGATGTGTGGTTGGCTACACAGATGCCTCCTTGCTGTGGTTTGTTTTCCCTGCAATGACAACCACAAAGGTAATTATTAAACATTTATTCTCCAGACTACAGGCCCCATCAGATGACCCATCCAGCAAGCATACATGAACAATCAAGACTGAGTGACAAAAGCATTTCAGGCCCATGGCTTATCTGCAAATCAGTAGAAGCGAGAGAACACAAAACCTTTTAAAATACTAGTATTACAACACCTATGTTAAATTTCTGGTAGTACATTACAGCAGATAAGTCATCTTTCCTCACACTTTCGAGAGTCCCTTCACATTTCAGCAGTTCTGGCATTTCACCAAAACCAGTTTCCTTTTAGCTAAAAATATGAGATTTCCCTGGATATGCATTTTAGCTGTATATATTACCATTCACAGAGGAATGTATCAAAGAATATCTGGACACTAAAATTCTAGAAGCAAAGACGCTGCAGCATGATTTTGCTTTTCTTTCTAAAGCACAAACAAGATATTTCAGAAGCCTCCATGACATAAAGCATACCATTAAGCAAGCAAGACACTACAAAGATTTACCAAAATGCCTCCCATAACTTACTTCAGGGGAGAGCACGAAGAATTAGTTACTAAACAAATTGGCTACCGGGACAGATGAACATTTTATGGCAATATTTTTGCATGTGGTTAAAACAAGTTCATGGCAAACATTGAAAAATGTCTAAGTGTCTATTTAACCAGGAACGCAAGTACTACTTCACCTACACATACCCTGCCACTATACAACAGAAGACACAATAGGGCATGCAAACATCCTGATAGAGTCTAGATGATCCAAACAGCTTTTTGGATAAATTATGCCATCATAGTATCCATGCAGTAATGGAATAAGAATCCTTCTCTGAAACTTGAGACATTAAGTACTGTAAGAAGGAATACCAACCCATTGAGAGCAGATTGGAACCACTCACCTGTTGTGAAAATGAACAAGACCACTCAGACATCGGACACCTAGTGTGGCACATATCATCTGAACCTGGTTGCTCAGCCAGCCTTTAACTCTAAAAGAAATGAAACCATACATACATTTCCAGTTCTATGTAGTCAGTCATAGAACACTCCAATGTAAACTCTCCAGATTATTCCAAATAGCTGTTACTACAAAGCCCACACTAAGAGGATTCTCTGCAGTAGCAATGCCACACAGAAGGAGCTCATTGATATCAGAGATATTCTTGATCCACTCTCTTACTGTAATCTATTCTAAATGCACCAGATTCAAAGCAGAGAAGATAATAGGGTTTTGTTTTATAGATTTCTTCTCATTCACTAACATAAATTTAATATAGCACTATCTAGCTGGTGAATCACATTTGAGTTTCCTGCAGTGACAGGACACAACAATCTCAAAGTATTAATATGGAATTGCTCAGCACAGGCGATTTAATTGCCCTGTTCTGACTCAGGTAGAGTATACTCTATTTTATGCTCTAAGACATGCTTCCAGCAGTATCTATCTGGCTTACATTGCATGTCTGCTTTCAGATGCCATTGCCATACTCTCTCTCATAGAACTCCGTAAGTTTACAGTAGAGAAAAAGTCATCCCATGATAGTCCACATTAATCCTCTGGCCACAAGCAGAGTGTTCCAACTACTAGTTCAAATCCTTAAAGAAATGAAAAAGAAATCAGTAGAACCCTCAGCAAACACCTACCTGCCATTTGGAAACTGTCCTACTACCATACTGGCCAACACCAGCAACAGGATGCTGAAAACAGACAAGCAGACGCTACAAAGTAAAATAATCTTAATTAAATGTTAAGAAGCAAAACTGGAAGAGTAAGCAAGAAAACATTTTATGGCCCTTTGATCCATTTCACAATGCTTCCCTCCACCATAACAGCATCTAACTAGCATTAGAAACCGCTAAGGGCCAACAGGACAATACAAGCACATGTTTTCACCCAATTAATCCTGCACTGGTTACAAAGCCTTGTGCTGCTTGGAGCCTAACTTCCAAAAAGCACCAGGCTCTGATCTAAAGGTATCACATGGTGAAGAAGCCATGGTGTTCAAAGAGGACAGCAAGTAGTGGCTGGTGTTCTTTTATGCAGGTGAGATTTCTCAGGGCCAAAAGGGTCTCAGAATTTCATTTTTAAAAACTTATCCAGAAATTTTGGTATGTATTTCCACTCTAAAAGGATAAAAATTAAGTTCTGTTGGTTACTAATGGCTGACCCAACAAGTATATTGAAGCCATTTCTACACAAATGTTGTCTTCTTAAGCTGTATATCTAAGTTTACAGCCAGGTATATGTGCTTGGCTATGTGACTGGTACAAAATTCCACCATGCACTTCAGCTAGGTTGTAAGTATATTGCCCACCCATCAAAAGAATAAGGAATTTTAAAAGCTCCTGTTGTTTGCAAGAACACATGAATATTTGTAATGGTTTGGTCAATACGACAAAGGTTGGTTTTGCTTAATAGACAATTTTAAAATGCTGAACATTTAATACATTCCAAGTGGATGTCTCTTTTTTTTCCCCTCCATTCAGCCCTATGCCCCATGAACACTGGCTTTGCTTCAAATCCCAAGTGTTCAGCACACAGTCTCCCTGTCTCTTAGGCAAGTAGAGCCTGATCCTTTCAGTTGAAACAGTTGTTATTTTACCTAACAAAAAGATATCCTGTTTATCCCTATACAGTTTTGCTGGATTTAAAAACAAATTAATTACTAATTACTATTAATTAGTTACTAATCAAACATATGGAACATGAGAAATTTACATCTTTGGCACCTCTTTTTTTTCTTTTAGGGATATTTGAGTTTAGATGGCATCTTGGAAAACAGACAAAAGCCATATTATTACACAGCTTCTGTAAAAAGTAACATGAAAAGCAGAACCCAGCAAAATACATCTGGCTCACCGAAAAGGCAGCAGGAGACAATACCGAACTAGGATCCCAATGACCCACACAACAGTGAGCTGCCAGCTGACACGGTGCAAGTTGGCATTGGTTCTGCTGAGGAGGTTCCAGGACACCAGCTCCTCGGAGGAGAACCGTCGAGTGACTTCGTCTTCTGCAACTGCCTCACACCCCTTCTTGGAGAAGTACATAACATCAGCAAGGCTGAAGCACCCTTGGCACCGGCCAGCAATCTCCTCTTCCATGGGGGTGTCATCTCTCTGGATGATCCCTGCATGAGGAAATGAGTCCTCCTTCCACACGATGAAATGAACAACATGGGTTCCAAAGAGAGTAAAATACACGTGCTTTTTAGAAATAGCTTTCCTCCTACTCAAGCACCATAATTGCATTGTTATGCCTCATTTATGTACTGACATGTAATTCCACAAGTTACTTCTCTAACCCTATGCCATATAACCCCCCTAAATTGCTGAGGAAGGAGAAAAGCATTCAGATAAAGCTGCAAATAAAACCTTGAGCGCAACACCTACTTCATTGTCATTTACCAAACAACATATGTACACACACCTAGAAATGTCAACAATGCACTGCCAAGGTTGCAGATCCCTCCTGGTGCCCTGACTCAGATTCAGCCAGTGCTTGTATATTTATTGTTCTTGTTGCTGTTGATTAGTTTTACTTTTTCCCAGCTGTAACAAACCCCTTCCTCTGTATTTTTTTTTTTTCAGGGCTTTCTCTCTTCCTCTATCCCTTCTCCTTTGAGAGTCCCCTCATTACCAAGTAACTTGGAAGTGTCTGGATTTCCCCCCACCCCCAAAACACGCATAGTGTAACATTGCACGTTGTTCTTCCAGACACATTGTGCTGGAAGAATAAAACCACATTCATGCTCTTCTATTTGTAAAATTACACCCCATAGGACAACCACACAGCAAGTTTCAGTGTGTTTGCTGAGGTCACTCTGAGACCAGATTCTTATCTGGCTGGTTAAAGTGACTAAAATTGTCTTGATTCATACCAGCTAACACTTGGCCTTCTTGTTTGCCTTTTGGTTTTGGGGGTTTTTTTCTGTTTTTGGTTTTGTTTTCTTTTGTTTGTTTGTGGTTTTGGTTTTTTTTTTTGTTTAGTTTGGGTTTTTTTTGGTTTTGTTTTTTGGCTTTTTGGTTGTTGTGTGGGTTTTTTGTTTTTGTTTGTTTGTTTGGGGTTTTTTTGGAGGGAGTGTATTGGATGACATTAAATGCGCATTACTCAAAATACACTTAATCTATCTTAATCAATATACTACCTCCCACCAGAATCACAAAACTTTCTTCCAGCTGCACTTCAGTCAAACAAACTTTCAACACCCAGAAAATCATCAGACCCAAAACTTACTAGCTGACAAACCAAGCAGTCTACATGACTAATGACTAAAAATGACACTTCAAGTAAAAGGATTACCATGAGAACTTAACCCACTCCCCTCTGGTCAAAGAAGAAAGGAAAAATAGTTGGGGGAAAAAATTACTCAGATTTTATCCTCATGCCTAGACAAGAATGCAAAATTTATCTGTGATCCATGGGATGCTGTAGCTCCTTCACTTGAGAGACCCTGGGTTTTTTCCATGCGAGGAGTTACAAGAAACAAAAGAGAATCCATGCAGAGCAAAGTCAAGAGCAATGAACACTCATTCCTCTCAGTCTTGTAAAGAGAGAGCTGGTGGAGTCAGAAAGCACGAAATACTCATGAAAACAGGGACAGCTTCCCAAATGCTTATCATCAATGTCTTTCTATACCCACACTAGTCTCTAGGTTCTTTTATTCAAGAAGACTCTATAATTTGCAGGTTATCTTGCTTATAACACCCTTCTGTAGCTTTGGAACTTCAACAGTTATTTGCCCATCAAACTCCTTTCTAAGTAAGATTTTTAAATAGTTGCCTTTTTACAAGATGAATAGTGCTGTGTCCCCTTCATTCAGAGATCTTACCAGTGGAGATTAAATTTTCAAGTGCCAGCGCCTTCTGCTTTTTTACTCCCTCCTCAATCTGCAGGGTGGCCCACTGTTCCCAAAACAAGAAAAGTAGATGTTGATGGTTTTAATTTCATCATTTCTAGACATTCTGTAATTACCTTAGGTGAGTTGTCTGAGCCTCTTTTACTCCTACATGGTCTTAGATTTTCATTTTTCAAAGTGAGCCTGAAGGCTGTCCTGCACACCTCCTGTTTCATTTGTTACACAGACTACCTTTCACCATTTCTAGGAAAAATTGTTTGGCTCAAACTTCTTTTCAGGACACAGTTGTTTTTTTTCTGGAGGCTCAACAAATTACTGAGCTACCTGAAAGACTATGAGATCCATGGGTCCAAAACACTCTCTTTTCCACTTAGCTTCAGGCAATAGGGTTATGCAAAATACTATCACTGACATTAGAAAGATGCTGAAAAAATAGATCTAAAAAAATTAATTTTAAAGAATAAAAGAGATTACCTCATTTTTGGGGCATTAATGTGGTTTCTGTTAACAGAAAACAGAGGCAGCAACATTTTGTATCCTTGGTATTTCTGAAGGAATAGCTTTGGTAATGGGCTTTCACCCTTCCCCGTCCTCACCTTTTTGAGCTAAACCAAGTTTCTCCTCCCTGTGCAGAACATCATAAAACTCTCCCTTAGCAAAATCAAATATACCAATATGCCTAATTTTTCAAGTTTTCATAGTTTTGAATGCTTTCATCATACATATATAAATAGTAGCTCTAGCGAGTCCTAGATCTTCCTGTATTTATGTCAAGATATCTGGCCTAACAAAGGACACCGGATGCTTGAGTGTAGGCTCTGCTCATTATCAAAGAATCAACAACCCACTCATCTTATGCCTTCACCTGCTATTAAAGCTACCCATCTACAACAGATAAGGATAATCCATCTGCTTCAGGATAAACTCCTGCTTAAAGTGTATTTCCTTCTTACTCAGCCATTTAAGTCACCACAAAGCTGATCTCAAATAGTCTTCACTACACTACAATGTGTTGCATGTGCCAACAATATCAATTAGCTTTTTTGCCATCCTTAAGTTTTGTATGCTCTCTACCAGCTCCTTCTGTAGCATTAAAGTCAGTAAAAAAAGGGTTACTTTGCCAAGGCATAGTTAGGATATTTTAGTTACCCTTAGTTGACTTTTTCTTACCAGCCATCTTAAAAGAAAAGAAAAAAGTGAAAGCAGAATAGGCTTTGATGGGGTGCTTTAAACTCCATGTAAACCATTTGTTATAACACCATAAAACAAACAAACAAACAAAATCAAAAAAGAAGAAATTAAAAAAAAAAAAATCCCACTCCACAGCCCTTCACTATACTTCCCTATTACTCTCTTGAAAAGGTCAACTGGTACATCATCTGTCTCAATCTTTTGCAACACATGAAGAGTCAGAATTGTGGAGCCAGGGGATGTCATGAAAACAGCAGCCCACACACTGAGAAATGAAAGAACATCCGGAACAGGTACAGCAATGTTGCAAAAGAGAGTAAAGGCAGACATGTGGCAAATTTAACCTCTTTATAATGTACTGCTGGTTCTCACCCCTTCCCCAATATTCTTTTAGGATACTTGTATGGCATGAGGGAGGAAAATAAATAAAAAATCACTGAGCTTGACAAATAAAGCCTTTTTGCCTTACTCTGTTTTCTTATCTCCTGTCTACCACTCTTATCTTGCCTATCACAGTCCTCCTACATAGAGAGGCACCTGGCAGCCAGCAAGCACTGCAAGAAATGAGCTTGCTCATACTGTCCTGGAGGATTTGGAATGCCTCAAGAAGGCTGGCTTTTGATTGCCAGATAGAAAAAGGGTGATAATTACTGACCAAGCTGACTCAAAATATCTGTTAACTAATTTAAATGAGTAAGACAAGTCAAAACCAACAAAAATTTATAAAGATTACTAGTAAAATATAAAGTCTTGACTCATAGAACAGAGAAAGAGTGAGACAGAGTGGGCAGAGTGTATGAGCAAGAAAAAGGCAATATATTTCCACAAAACACAGTTAAGTTGTGAGTTCATTGTCCAGAACATGTCACCAGAGATCATTTGAAATGGGAGCAGTTACAAAAAAAACATGGATGAAAATTACTGTGGAACACAAAACCGTCCCAGCTCATGAACTGGCATGGGAGACTGAGGCATCAAGGAGTGAGGAGGGAATCTGACCATACAACCACCCAGCTCTTCAGCTTTTCATTGAGCAGTTGAATTGAAGCCTGTCAAAGCTGTCTGTCTAGGTCAAACTCTGGACTGACTCAGCAGACTAGCTACTATGTTGTTCTGCATTCAGTTGCATCTGTACGTATAATTTGTTTTTAAAAATGAAATAAGTCTTTGCGATAACCTTTGTATTGCACAGCATTGAGACAGAGCTGTCATGCTGGTCTTTGTTGCAAAACAGTAATGAAAGGATGTTTTAAATGCCTTACAAAAAAAAAAAAAAAAAAACAGATGTTGCAACTAACACAGAATTTAAGTATTAAATGTAGCAACTTCATTCCTAAGTTTGCTGACTGAACGAGAACTCAGGTGCTGTGCTTTCCTCACTCCCATTTCTGAAGCGATGAGGACACAAGGAGTCCAAACATCCAGTGGTTGATCCCAGATGGAATACTGAAGACCTGACAGCTTAACTCCAACAGTCCATTTGTTTGAGCTTCCTGTAATTACATTCTAAACAAAATAAGAATGCCCAATACTTGGTTATATTAATTACTTTCTTCATAGTACCTGACAGGAAAAACTATACAATACGGAATGTTCATTTTCCAAAATCTCACTTTTTGTGTTTTTATGAGGGTTTTGCAGTTTTTCCTCCCTTTTCCATTTAAAGTACTCTGTTTTTCTATACTATGTAATAATTCAGTTTTGCATCTCTTCTCATATTTTACTACACCTTCTCCCATATTCTTATAAGAGGTTTTTCTAGTCACTCATTACACTGGCTTTTCTCAATCCTTTTCTCATGTGTGACAAAGGCTTTGGGGCAATTACTCCCCATAGTCTTCCAATACAATGGCAAAGAGAAGGTCAGTAGTTTTTTAGCACAAACTAAAATCACCATCTAAGATCGAGCAATTGGGACATTTTCATCCAACAGTCCTTTCTGTCTGGCCTCATTTCCCCTTTCACATCACAACCAAGAACCCAGATCAAATGATCTGAGCATTACATTGTATGTCTGAGGGAATGTGACTGTCCACCATCAGATTGTGAAAATGACTCACAAATCTCCTGCCTGCTTTAGTGAGGGCAGATGAAGTAGGTTGAGAAGGGTCACAAACATTTGTTTGGAATAGGGGCAGAGATGTAATTTGTTTGGGCTTCGTTGCAGAGGCTAGCTCAGGATAGCCAGGAAAGCACAGCAGGGAGCTTCTTTCACTAGTTTAAGTGTCAGCAACATCTGCTCATACTCCAGTGGGAATTTACAGCATATTAGCTACCTCGGTGTAGCTATCAATTCAAAGACTATTCACAATTATTAGATGTCTTTCCTACATGAGAGTATTTCTCAAGAAACAACAATGCTTCAATTTCATACAGAAGTTCAGAACTCAAAATTCCGGAAGATTCTTGGCAAATAGAGCTACAGCTGTTCAATATGTTTCTTTGACTCTCCACAGGACTGTGAGAGCAAAGGCATTTTCTTTTGGAACAGCTGGAATAACATCCCTAGAACGGCTTTGCTAGTATTGTCATTTCCATCAAACCCTGATATAGACAAGCAAATACAAACTCAGAGAAAACACATTATTTACAAATAGAAGTTTACAAGCATATGGGAAAAAGTAACCCTATCAGAAATCAAACCACATTCATCTTTATCACTTCTAGAGGGTACAAATTATTTCCATACATGATTACATCTTTTCCATTTGTTCCAGTCACTGTTCACAGTGCTAAAACACTTCAGTGAAGTCAAGAAATCAAATTGACTTATCTCATCATATGCCACTATTACTCATTGCTTAGTAATAAATCTGAAAACTTAAGCTTTATTCTAAAACACATTTTTTTTGCTCCCAGCAAATTCAGTAAGGGCTACAGATATGCTTTCTTTGAAAAATATTTTCTAACTTTGAAGTCCTCAATTTCAATCTCTACTTTTTTTATTTTTCTCAAGCTGACAAACATGGAGAAAAATAAAACATGTTTTCCCTCTGCCTCCCTATTTATCATCTACAGCTGTAAGAAACAAATATAAAGTGTTGTCAGGTGAGAAGTTTTCTGTTAATTTTGCAGGTCTACATAACAGACTAAATCAAATGCAACATAATGGAGAATCCAGTCATAGCGCTCAAGGTTGGATTTTTTTGCTGAAACATCAACCAGTTGTTTGGTACTTCCTAAAGCACTGATATTCCTGCAATATAATCCATAGTGTGCTAATATATGACTAAGCATCTGCTCTTAGCATTTTCAGCTTAGCTATCCGGTTTGACATCCTATTTCGCCATTCCGGATAAAAACAGGAACCACGGTCGGTCTCTGTGCATTACCCCATTAGCAATATCTCAGCTAGATAATGTCACAGCTGGAAACCAGTCCACCCCTCACTGGACTTTCAATGTCAAGTTGTTAATTTCTCAAACAAGCGGTGCATAGAAGCCTGCTTTAAAGCTGACTGTATCCCAAGGTGCAATTTCGGCCATATTCTGAGGAATGAGCCCCAGGACTCAAAGAATAGGCCCAGCAATTACATGCACAAGTTTTAACCCAGCATTTCCCAGTCCTACTCTTCCCTGCAAAGAGCCTAGTGGGCCACAGCACAAGCAAAGGTGACCTAAAACTCCCTCCATCCTCTCTCCCTCCCATTTCCCCCCAAAATAGCTCTTAGTTACTCTTTTGGCACAATGAGAAGCATTTGAGCAATACTTCAAAGAAAGTAGTTGGAATTCCCTGTCAGATGAAAACAGAGGAAACTCCTTTTTTGCCCATCGAACAATTAGGGAGCAACTTTGAACTAAAACACAAAACAAGCCAGTCTGAACTGCAGTGCATGGAGTTGTGCTGCTCCTGTTATTAGCTGCTGTGGCCACAGGGAACTAAACATAAAAGGCTGCACCTGATCACACAACAATTAACTTAATTATTTCTTTTTTGATAAATTGATCCTCCGCATTGTGAACACAAAATTATCATGCTTATAACCTGTTACAAAAACTGTGGAAAGAGAAATATCTAATGTGCTTCACGAAAGAAGTACCTTCCTATATAAAGCACACACTGAGTGGGTCAAACGTCTCTGGTCAAGCTGGAGGGTGGGGGGAAAAATTCGGAAGTTATTTTAATGTCTGGCAACTGCAGCAGCAAGACCTGTCCAAAGACCTTCTCAGATTTGATATAAGAGTGCCAAGAAGAAGGTACCAAGAAGAATTTAATTAGCATAGCACTAGTTGATTAAAAAAACATTTCATATATAAAGGCCAATATTACACATAGCCACTCCAGGCAGTCATTTGTCATTAACACCAGCATCTGAAAAAGCAAGTAACCCTGAACTTTGCAGTCCTGTGCACTATGCTAAATGTTGTTCATACAGCTGAAGACAGATCCTGCCCAAGAGCTCTTAGTCAGCATTAAAATAAAACAAAATAAAAAATAAACACTCAAACAAATGCAAACAAACAAACAAAAATAGATAGAAGAATTATAAGACAGAAAAAAAGACAGAATTGGCAAGGTAAGATGGTTATGATATTAACTATATCACACGGCTACAGACATGTTCTACTGCACAAATAGATGACTCCAACAGTTTAATAATAATAATAATAGCAATAATACTAGTAATGTGTTTTCTGCCACAAGTAGAAAGTATATTCACAGAAAGCAGGTTTATGCCAGAAGCACAAAGTTAATCTACTGGAAAATGGAAATCCTTCACTGTTCAGTATGATGAATTCACTGCACCTACTTCTGGCTAATGATGGATACGAAAAGTCAAACTTGAAAAACTAAATGGAATTATGGCTTATTAAAAGCCTCAGAAACCTCTTACTGATAGCAGTAGAATTAGGATCTTAGCCATGATCAGTTCATCCCTAGAAAAATTACACTTTTAAAAGGTTGCACAGATTCCTCAAGTCTCGTACAACAGAACTTGTAACTGCTTGATCCTCCAGATTTACATCTGGAAGAAGCAACACACAGAGTGAATATTCTTACCTAAAATATTAATATCATGCAAATAAAATAATCCAAATAAAACCACTGAATCTCATGTACATCTAAAATACATGTTCTTATTACTTACCAAGTCCCATAAACTAATACCTCTTTTTCTTTATATCTGACTTTTCATCAGTATGTTACTTGCATGAAGTACTTTAACCAGCCTGAACTAGAAGAGATCATGGAGTCTCTATTTTAATCCAAGAAAATCTCAAACCAGCAGCAGATTATATGTAAGCCAGCACATAACTAGATATCATTAAAGCCACCACTCAAAGTCTATCATGTAAAATAAAGCTTCAAACAACACATCCAAGTTAATGGAATTCTTTCTGCTGACTTTTATGGCTTCTATAAAAAACGTACAGGTTTTATTATTAAACATGTCCTGTAGCAAACAATACCTTTTGAACCTAATTCTCAACTTACCTCTAATATTTTTATTACAATATTCACATAGAAATGAGAAATCCCCAGTGACACTCGGAACATCGAAGGCAACAAAACTAACGCCACAAACAAAATCATCCAGACTGACAAAATCTTGCTTTCTGCAAGACCATGGCCCTCTCTATTTTCTTCCATGCTTACTCCTCCAAAATGCCAACCAGCTGCCTTTCTGAGAATATATGCTCATCCGCAGTGGAGAATCTAGCAAGCTTCCAGAGATGGAGCCAAATAAGAATTACACATTCTAAGAGCCAAAGTTATGTTTAGGTGAAGACTGCTGCTCTCTGAAGCCTAACACCACAGATACTCTCAATGATAATGTGATTTCTACCCCCTTTATCCCACCCTAACTCCACCCACTTCCTTGTAATTGATAAGCATTTACTCACCAGGGGAGAACAAAAAAAAAACACATGATAGGTAATAATATATGTTAGGTAATTAGATACTGTCAATAAGAAAACTTTTCAGTGTGTCAATTAGTTTTCACAAGGTGTCCTGCCAACAAATTACAATACAGAACTAGGTGGGTGTGGTTTTCAGACTGCCTAAAATCTTCTCTTCTAAACCTCATTTAATACACACGAAACACTTCTCCAACTGACATTTGTGCAAACTGGTGACTTATTTAGTCAGATTTTCTGCTTCATGAGGAAATAACTGCCTCATTTTGGGATTTAACCAAAGGAATGAAACTGAAGCTTGAGGTGCAAGTCAGGCTTTTTTATTTTATTTTTTAATAACACACATGAAATGAAGACACAAGTTTCAGCAGGCAAGGATTGACAATATGATAAACCTGCTCCCTCCGTTGCTCTACCAGAAATTAGCCAAAAAGCCTGTATTACAGGGTTACAAAATAGACTTTGGTGAAGTAACAAGCCTTTCATCCTTTCAAACCTTTTCATCTATTCAACTACAGAATTGAAATGCAATAGATAATCCAGTTTCTCCTTCTATCCTATCAATTGTCAATAATTTAATTCAGTATTTCTTAGGAAAGACACAGTTCAGCCCCTTACAGCCACCTCTCTCCTGCCTCTTTGTATGCACAATTGAAGAGGTGAATAACTCCAGAATTCAAGGGGAGCCCACCAGCTGCTTGTTTACAATCTTCTCACAGAACAAATTAACTAACTTTGATAGAATGAGCAAAACTTCCAAGACAGTGATATGCTAGTCCACAAAGCATTTTCCCTTTGCACATACTTACATCAGCATGTTTTCCTAAAGCTGGGGCTGTCCTTTTAAAATATTCCCATTCCCATGTACTATTGTTTGGTCTGTGGAGCAATCTGAGTACACACAAACTGGATTTTCTTGGAAATGAAAGCAGACCCAAAGATTCTCTGTAGAAAGTGCACCCAATACCCTCCAGTCAGTAACAGAAGCAGAGATGTCAGAGTGGGCTGTACCACCTCCAAGTCCTCTAGTTTATACCACATGCCCAGGCACCAACAAACAGGATCCTGATGTGTTCTCAAGCTCACATGAATCTCTGGGATGCTTCTTGTGCCCTATAGTGAGTCAAGTAGCTTTTGTATCTTCAAATTTGCTGCTGAATGACATCCTTCGGGTCTTTGCAACTACACTGCAATCTTTTTCAGCAGTCTAACTTTTCTTTTGCTTCTTCTCATTATTTAGCTTCTTTGCCTTCTCCCCCCTTTCTGGCTTCTTTCTGAGCTTTCTGCATCTTCTACAAAATCTTGCTGATTTGTCTGTTTGTTTTTTTCTGCTTTCCCATTGCTTTTTCTCTCAACAGGAACCTCAAGCCCCTCACTCTCCCATCACGCTGCCGCTGCCAGGTACGCCATCAACCACTGTTTTCTCACCTGCCCCGCCAAAAGGCTCCAGTTCCAGGCTCCCCTGGGAACAATGTTTTATTGTTTGTAAAACAGCTTTACTCACCCGTTTCTGTTTAGCTACCACTCCTTACGTTCTCATTACTAGTCTCTTCCTCGAGTGGCTTGCCCAGCTAACACATGATCCCTAGGGTGGCATATAGTGGAGAGCTGGATGGGCGGGCGCTGATGCACCTGGCACAAGGCAGTGTCTCTGAAGAGCTGCCATCAGCCCCAGCACAGGGGATCGGTATGTATGTCGCCTGGGTGCTAAAAACCTTGTGGGCGGGAGGGTGGAGGTAGTTTCTGGGACCTGAGTGAGGCAGGAAAGGTGGGCAAAATTAAGTATTGATAGGACACCACAAAGTAACAGGAAGATGTGGTGACTCACTTAATGGGATGCCTCAGCAATAAGTTTGGACGCACAAAAGACGGATTCTTTCTTAAAAGGATAGAAGGGAAGACAGACTTGCATAGAAGGGAAGACAAGACTTGCCTACCCTGGGTGGGAGTAAGAAGATGTTTCCCCTCCTGAATAGGGAAGAATTGTTTTCCATCCCATGAAACCTTATCATTTGCACTGCCTAACTCTTACAAAGTCATATTCCCCACTGCACCATGAGCACAGACACTGTAATCCTTACCTGCCACTTTCTAAAAATACCAGAGAGCAAGCAACCCCCTCTCATTTTCACCCATCTATTATGCTGAATTATGGGATTGTCAGCTATAATTTTCCCTGGCAAACCACTCAGTCCAAGACACATGAGGTTTTTTGAGGGTTGCTGAGACAATTATCACAGATGTATGAGAAAAAAAAACAAAAACAGGTTTAGAGGGGGAATAAATAGAGAGATCTTGGCAGTCTATTGCTTTTCACGAAACATGTCACATTTTCCACACAGCAAAAGATAATTACTACACCTATTCCACTCAGTTTGCTCCTGGACACATGGCACTGCAACAACCCACTGCAGTGAAAGCATCATCTTGAATTAATGGGCCAGCCTGGCAGCCCCAGCCCCTTGCAGGTTTGTGAAAGAGGAGGCCATAGGGATGGCATTCCAAGTGAAAGAATTGAAGAGTTGCTAGTAGCCTCTCTATTGAGGTGGTCAAACTATCCAGCCCAAAGGCACTACAAAATCCATATGGATTGGAATTTTATCTCTGCCCTGAATGAAGGTGATGCACTTGCTCATGATGTGAATAAGAAAGGAAATCTTTTATTTCTCGAGGCATTTAATAACACAGCTTCCTGTTTTTTGGTCAGAAATTTGGCATAACATTTTACACCCCAGCACAATAATTGATCTTTTATTATTTCCAAAGAACTACTGAACTATACATGTTTCTCGAATTCCAGTATGAGCTGAATAACTACAATTTGTGATGGGGCTACACAAGTTTCCTTGGCACAGTAATTTCTTTCAGAATTAATTCTGTCAGCCACTGACTAAACAGAGCTTTTGATTGTCATTCTTCTGCTTTCTTTGTCCCTCTTACCAACAGCCAGCCATGCTGCAATCATATCCATTTCTAAGCTGGGAGAGGGAAGTGTGAAGGTATTGCAAATAATTCAAATAAACATGCAGCAACAGAATGTAGCATTCATTTCTAAGGTCTAGTATATAACAGCTGATGAATTTATACCAAATATCACAAAGTACCCTGAATGTCAAGAAAAGCTGCAAGACAATGTGCAAAACTCTCTGTTCACGAAATCTAACTTAGAAGAAAGAGATGCTGGTGACACAGGAGGAATTCAAGAGCAAAGCTCCCTTTAATTTAACAAATCTCAAACTGCCACCCACAAGCATAAGAAATTCACTTGAAACAATCCTGTTCTCCTAGGGAAATGAAAAGGAGACAAAATGGGTGTCAGCCACCTACTCTTGGCTCTTGATCCCTTAGGGTCATTCTACTAATTTCATATTGCAAAACATTGCCTAATGCCTAGTTGCCAATTGTCACAGGGAACCAGAATTACGACCCATTTATTTTTTCAGTGCCAGGAGAAGCAAACACGGCACTGACCTCTGTCTATCTGTAGTGCCTTACATGGAAGGGTTAAATCAGGTATAAACAGCCTTTTCCTGTACAGCAGTCAGCTTTTGAGTAGATGCATATACACTGTGAACAGATGAAAAACAGCAATGAGACATAACAGTTTTCAAGAAGTGCCACTATGGTTTTGCCTTCCCAATACGCACCCTACTGCAGATACAGACTGGAAATAACACTTGGCATGGCCTCAAAGAGAAGGTATCACAGAGTCACAGAAATTTTGGGAACCACTCTTTCCAGGTATGCTTTCTTCCTGTTCAGCACTAACTATTCCAGTGACTCTGAGGGGATATCCTACAGGAGTTTGCAGCCTGCCTTTCTTGTAACGCCTTTCTTATCAGACTACCAGAACATTTTATGTCCCCAGCAGATACTGTTCCAAAGGAGCACTGACACATCAGCTTCAGCCACATGGTGCTTCAGATGTTGAAGTAATACATTCCCTAAAGGTTAACAAAGAGAAATTTCTACCTGAGGCGAATGACAATGACCACAACAATCAATCATGGTCAGCCATCTATCAGCTGATCTTTTTTATAGTAGATATACAGGGTATATTGTTTATAGTAAATATATAGTATATTTTTTATAGTAAATATACAGGGTATATTGTTTAACTGTTTTGAGTTGTAACATGATCCAAAAGTGCTTACATCTAGAAGTACAGAAGTAAACACAAGCATTGCCATTAGGCACATGAAGGTGTTACTATCGCTAAATGCTCTTCTACCTCCCTGGTATTTCTGTATGAGTTTTGCTATGCTACAAAGCAGACTGATCTACTTAGAAAAGCCTTGTAAGTCAATGACAGAGGGTCAAGAGAGCAAACCTGGGCTGATTAGCCAGCATCAGCTAATATTCAGGGGTACCAGGATTATGCTTTGCAGGATGAGAAAGTCTTTCAAACAGGACTGACCAGAGCATTGTGCACTCCAGTAATTCTGATGTGTGTACTTACACATGAAAACTACTAAGAATATATCTTTTTCAATTGCAGATACTAAAAATAAAATAAAATTTTAAAACAAAACCAAAAACAAACAAACAAACAAAACAAAAAAAAAAAAGGAGAAAAAAAGGGCCTTTTTGGTTTTTGTTTATGTCTTCTCTATGTTTCAACCTCTGATTCCACACCTGATTGCTACTCAAGGGGGAAATAATCTCTGGTAGTTTTGTTTTGATATTTATGAAGACTGAGGTTCATGTTTTACTGGTGAAAAATCCTCCAAAAAGCCAGAATAACCTTAAAGATCACCTATTGCATCTAATAGCAATGTCAAGTGCAATATTTATCTATAGAAACTACACTGTTTTCAGGCACTTAAATGCAACTTGGTACTCCTCTGCATTAACATTCTAACTGATCTATGTCTGCTGCTCTTCAGGTCTGTACAGATCCCATCTACACCACTAAACAGATATGTGTTTATATCTGACCACAGTAAGATTGTGCTATTTATGCTTTATCTTTGGCCATCAACAGTTGAATTATGAAAACATTGAAGAAGTATGTTTGACTACTGTATCACTCATAGAATGACTGTAATACATTTAGCTCTGACCACACAAGCATTATTGTTTCCACACAACATAAATTCAACAATTACAGAACCTTATTTATTGTATCCTGTAGCTTACAACAGGCTTGAGTCTTTGTATCACAAAACAGGGAAATCCACTACATGTTCTGACTACATTTGTTTGCCTTAGCAATGCATAGATATCACAGGTGTGTAGGCATTACATGACTTTCAATACGTACCTCACATATTGTCCATATAAATCTTGTATATGATTTGTGTATCATTGATGCTAAATGCAATAAAATAATTTGCCAAGGCCCAACATTTATTGCATTGGTTGAATGCATAACATTTTCTCCCAGCTCTGGCTTAGGAGTGACTGCAAACACAGCACAGGGTCCTTTGGGGCAATTCCTGAAAGACATCAGCATTCATCCCCTTTCATCATTTTCTCCACAAAAAGCTAAGGAATATGGACACATCCATCAGTTCTTGTTGCCTTCACCATGGCAATGTGGTCCATAATGGAATCATTTGTCGCAATGTATCACTTCAGTTGTGTTGTACTTATTACCCCTTTTTTTAATACCACATGGCCTGCATTGTAAGAAATGCATGCTAGCTCTTTCCCATCACCCTCATCCATCATTCTGTATCATTCAGAGACTTGTGTTCCCCTTATCCAGAGATCTAGATCATTTATGAGTGTGTTGAGGAATAAAAGTCCTAGCTGGTCCCTCTCTCCACTGTAACAACAGTTAAGAAGCACAACAATTTTCCTCTTCTAAATTTTGGCACCATTCACATATATTTTAAATAATACTTAAAGAATTTTATTTAAATATACTAGAACAAACCCTTCTCCTTCTAAATCTTGTCAACAAGTTTTATTGGAAAAAATATTATGCTAAGAACATGAATTTTGTATGCAACATAAAAAAACCATATTTGAGACCCCAAAAGCATGGAAATATAACTTAAAAGACCACAAGAGCATACATTCTATTTCAAGAGTCAGGCAATTAATGTCTAAGGCTAAGAATGTGCTTACCTATAGTCCTGGTGAGGGATGAAATAAAACATTTGCTCGCCTGATTTACCCTGAAGGGGTAAAACTCCTGCGGCCTTTAGACCAGACCTCTGATCATATTTCAAAGAATGTTGTTACTTTTAACTCTCCCTTCCTGAAATTGTTTTCTAGAGTTTTCTTCTGACTGTTATGTCAGGAACACCTGCTAAAATGGGAAAAAAATACATTACTACAAGTATTAAAAATGAGTAAAATGTGACAAAGGAAAAAATACAGAACGTATATTCTGCAAACTCAGTCTATACCTGAGGAAGAAGTTGTACAATTTACTGCTCAGCATTGTTCAACATTATCATTTTATTAATTCCTTATCACAATTTATTAGGTTATTAACTCAGAAGATTCTCACAGTCCTAAACAGTACAGTGCATCTCCAGACATCCTCACAGCTGCATGGCTTGTTTTGAAAGGCATGGCCTTGTTATGGACAGCAGTTTAGCCAGTGCCATGCCTTTTCATATTGCAGGCTGGCATGACACAATCCTCCCATTCCCAAGACATGAGCCCAGCTCACTCCACCCACACTCCCAGCAGGATGATGTGGGCCAAGCAGCTCAGTTTAAAGGTCATTTTGATGAAAACATCAAACTAAAGCTCATAGTGCAATTCAATGAGGCGCTTCCATGAATGCAGATCCTGCCTTTCAGCCTAGAGCTGTGTCAGGTCCCAGAGCTTGCAGGCAGGAGACTGGCAGCCATGGATGGGGCCAGGACACCCTCGGGACAAGCCCTTGGGCTGCACTCACAGACATTCACAGAGACGCAGAGGATTGAGCAGCCTTCCTGTTTCAATTGTTTCAGTCTCCAGGAATTTAGACTTAAGAACTGTGCCATTTAAGGCAAACTGCAAGGGATGATTTTCCAGAAGTCTCACTGGGCAGGTGGCAGGAAGAGGCTGGGAGAGTGAGAGAGGATAGAAGTGGGCACAGAGGAGGTGAGGTCTGGTGCTGTTGTTCACAAAATCTGATTCATTGCACAGTGTGTAATAAGCCAATAATTACACTACACACTTGAGAGAGATATTGATTATCTGTTTCAGAGTTGCACAATCATGAGTCCTCGGTGGTATTTCACAAATCAAGCACACCAACTATCAAAATTTTTCACTATTTATACATTTTAGCAAACAAAGGTATTAATGTTCATTGGTTACAAGTTACAGAGTTCTCCTTTTAATTAGTATTGTATCTTCTATTGTTTAATGATTCTTTTGCTTCTTATGCTAATTAGTCCACAGGCTCAGTCTTTCTCTTCTTTTGGGCCAGTGGGTTTCTTGAGTTGGTGGCCGTAAGTCAGTGGTTACCATCTCCCACTGACAGAATTACCTTTCACACAGTTGAAGCTGATTCAGCACAGTTGCTGAGTTGTCTTCATTAGTTTCTTCCTTATCTTGGGAATTCTGGCAGATGTCTTTGTGGCCCATAAATATTGCATTCTTTACGTCCACTATGAGTGATACATCCTTCTTTCCAAGCTTAGCTAACCTCCCCATGGGCTGAGATCGTTGAAGCATGTCCAGCCCTAAACCTTAACAAGGCGATTTTACCAACAAGTAATTTGTCTTTCTGACACCTGGACACCACTTAGAGATTGCTTGTTAGCTGTTATCTTATAGTTTTAAGCTGAGCCAGGGGAGATTTAGGTTGAACATTTGGTTGTATTTCTTCACAGGAAGAGTGCTTGGGAATTGAAATGGACTGCCCAGGGAGATGGTGAAGGCACTATCTTTGGAGGTGTTTAACGAGACTGGATGTGGCACTTAGTGCCATGGTCTAGTTGACACCGTGGTGTTGGGTCACAGGTTGGACTCGATGATCTCAGAGGTCTTTTCCAACCTAATTGATTCCGCGATTCTGTGATCCGTTTTCACCGATTAAATCGCCTTTTTTTGTTGATTAGCTTTGAAAGCACACAAAGACCAAACATCGGAGGATACCCTTTCTGAAGAAAACGTTTACATGTTCCGCATTCCGCCCCGGCGCGGGCGGCTGAGGGGAGCCCGCGTCCCTGCGGGGCCGGGCTGTGCCCGCCCGGGCCCGGCGCTGCCGCCGGCGGCCGCTGGGGGCTCCCGCCGTGCGGCGCGGCCCGTCCCGCCATTGCCGGGGCATGGAGGGCGAGAGCACCTCGGCCCTGCTCTCGGGCTTCGTCTTCGGCGCGCTCGCCTTCCAGCACCTCAGCACCGACTCGGACACGGTGGGTGCCGCGGGGGGGGGAGGGCCGGGAAAGCGGAGGGAGTGAGGGAGGGGCCGCCCCCGCCGTGGCCGCGCCGCCGCCGGGCCTCCCCCTGCCCGGGCTCCCGGCGCGGCTCCGGGGCTCCGCGCAGGTCTCTGCCGCCTCGCCGCGCACGGGAGTCGCTTTGTGTGCGAGCGGCGGGGAAACGCGGGGTCCTCCCGGTAAACCGGGAGGCTGCGGCGGCTGCAGCGCCGTGTCTGCCCAGGAGCGAGCGAAGGGCTGGTATGGCTGCCCAGCCCGAGCCTGGGCGGCGGGCAGCATCCCCACAGCCGTGGGGTGCTCGCTGCTGAACGACAACGGGAGGGACGGGAGACACCCGAGGAGGACGCGTCACTACTTGTTGGTTTTTTTCCCCTCGGAACTACGGTCCAGTATTGAAAAATTAGTGAAAACCTAGTCTGTTAAAAAAAAAAAAAAAAAAAAAAAGTTCATTTTGACACCTTTTTTCCTTTTCTGAAGACAGCATTTGGACTTAATATGAGAGGGAAAATCCTCTTAGAATATCCTGAGCGATAATCAAAGTCCAGCTCCTGGCCCTGCATAGAAGGACAGCCCTAAGAGTCACACCACGTCCCTGAGAGCATTGTCCAAACACTTCTTGAACTCTGTCAGGCTTGATGCTGTGACCACTTCCCTGGGGAGCCTGCTCCAGTGCCCAACCACCCTCTGGGTGAAAAACCTTTTCCTTTATCCAGCCTAAACCTCCCCCGACTCAGCTTCATGCTGTTTCCTCGAGTCCTGTCACAAGTCACAACAGTGAAGAGATCAGTGCCTGCCCCTCCTCTGCTCCTCGGAGGAAGTTGTAGACTGCGATGAGGTCTCCCCCCAGTCTCCTCCAAGCTGAACAGACCAAGTGACCTCAGCTGCTCCTCATACAGCTTCCCCTCAAGGCCCTTCACCATCTTCATGGCCCTTCTTTGGACATTCTCTAATAGCTTTGTATTTTTCTTATATTGTGGCACCCAAAATTGCACACAGGATTAGAGGTAAGGCCCCACCAGCACCGAGTACAGCAGGAGTGTCTGTTCAATGCTACAGTTAACATGAACACTTTTTTCCTCTTCCCCTCTACAGGAAGGTTTTCTCCTTGGAGATGTGAAAGGTGAAGCCAAGAACAGCATTACTGACTCACAAATGGATGATGTTGAAGTTGTTTATACAATAGGTTAGTCTGTCCATATTTTTAATACCCTGCTTGGTTTCAGGCAATATATGAATGCTTTAGTTTTGAAGGAGGGCAGTCAAAAACTTACAGCAATATCAAAGCTGTGAGACCCAGGACTATATGTTGGTGTAAAAAACATTATTTTGCAACATTTTAATTGCTACAAAAGTTACAATATACTGCAGAAAACAGAGTAACTTTAAATAAATACTAGTTCTTAGTTCTTTGAATAGATACCAAGTATCTCATCAGATTAAAGGTAATTTAGGGTTTAGACTCCTACCTTGTCCTGGCCACAACACAAAGTCTCCTGAACTACAGTTGCCCTGAAAAACTTGGTCTATTTCAGTGATGTGACCTGTAATGCATTAGCATTTATTACCTCATTGGGAGCTTATAAAATACTGTGTCTGAAGGCTGCAAGCTGTTATTGATTTCATTAAGCAGATGTCAGATGTATTTTTTTTTATAGTCTTCACGGGATTGGAGTGGATGTGCATTTTATACTGGCCCTTACATTTGTATACATACATGCACACACAGTTAACTCCATTCCTTTCAAATGCAGTTATACAAAAAGAAACAGAACAAGGTAATACAGCATGTGCCTTCTTGCCAATCTTCCTGAAAATATGGTAGGGAGAAATTACAACCCATTTTCTAGTTTTACTCTAGGATACAATTAAGGTGTAACACTTTCCTTCACAGTCTCACAGCTGAACCAAAAATGTGGGGAATTTTTTGCAGTGGCATTGATCAGGTTACCCAGAGTCTTATCATTACATTCTCACAGGCAGACTTAGTTGCTTTAAAGTTTGGAGGTGTTTTTAAGTTATTTTGTGAAAATGAAAACAGTGGAGAATTTAGGTTAAAAAAAAGGATTTAGAATGCCATTAGATCACCTGCCATTTTTTTTCTGGTTGTCAGCCTTCCATTTATCTACCCTGTGGGTTTCTGTTCTTCAGCCTCATCTTACTAACGCATCTATGCCTTGTTGCAGAGTAACTCAAGGGAAATCTTTCATATTACATACTACTCCTGTACTTTGACAGAAGGTAGAGAGAAATAAAATGCCCAACTTGATTTTTCATTTGACAAAATACACAAAAAAATACAGTTTGCAGAAGTGGTTCCCTTTACATTTGAACAAATTAATTGGAATATATTTTTTAAATATTTCCTTTCTTCACCTTATTAATGCATTTGATTTTAATAAATTATATAGAATTATTTCTTGGTTCTGCTATGAGTTTAATACTGATCATAACATACAGAAGAATATACATCATGAACTGATGAGCCTGGTGTAATATTACTTTCACTTTCCAGATATACAGAAGCATATTCCCTGCTACCAGCTGTTCAGGTAAGAGTCTTAAGTAAACAGATGCAAAATGCCTAACTTGAACTCTTCAGGATTTAAACTTATATTACATTACTTGAGAAAATCACCCAATGCAACTATAGTAGCCATATCAACCTTTTGGAATAACAGATGCAAAATGCCTTATGTTATTCCTATTTTTGTTCATTATGTCTTTTTTTTTGGTGGTGTTTGCCTATGTATATGGAAATAGAGATATGACACAGTGCACCTTCTGGTGAGCTATGATACCATATAAACTAAAGAATAATATCAACATACTGAAAAAAGCATTGTTTTACTAAAAGCATACATTCTCACCACTCACCCTCAAAAATAATAATAATAAAAATTTTAAAAATAAATAAAAAGGTACAGCCAGAGGCTTCTAAGTGGGTCAATAAAAGAAACACTTGTTAGCCCCATAGCAGGAGTAGTTTCAAAAGCTAGTATTCAGAGTTCCATCATAGATGGGACCACAGCCGTACAGGTTTACACCCCTGTAAGGGGAGAATCACAGTTTCCTTCTCAAACCTTTCTGAAAATTAATAAACCCAGCTCTTATTAGAAATGCATTTTATATCAATTTGAAGGCATCTTATTTGTTTGTAGTTCAGAGAACACAGGTGCTACTTTTAACTTATATCCCAGAAGCACGGATGCCAGAAGAGCATCTGGGCTGTACAAGACCTCCTACAGAGCTATTTGAATAATGAAATCACCTGCTCTGTCCCAGCAGAGAAGCTGTGGCAGCATATTGTTATGCTTAATAGGAGGGGGAAAAGACTATTAGAGATGATTACCAGAATGTTAGCGAATAAGCATTTTTTCCCCTCTAACTGTCCTAATTTTCTTTTCTTCTAGCTTTTATAATTCTGTAGGAGAACTGAATGAACTTGCCCTGAAGAAAATACTATCAGGCTGTAAGAAGGTATTTTATTTTCAAATCTAAACCATACTGAGGAGCTTACTGAAATTTTGGAGGCTGTTCTGGATACCTTTTGGATCAAGCTTTTTTTCTCTCCTCATTTTAAATCTTTTAACTAGTCCCATATGCTGCTGGTCAAGGCAGATGCATCATCTCTTCCCTCTAAAAAACCAGATTAGGTTATCTTTCTTATATATATGTAGGGTTTGCTACATATATGTCACAACTTTATTTGTCCTTATTAATTTCCCAAGTGAACACTTCAAGTATCCCAAAGGAATTCTATCAATTTCTAGCTTAAGATGAATTAAGGTCAGCTCGCTCAAATGGTTAAGCACCATTTGACCAAAAAAAATTAGTCTTCTCCACAGAAGAAATTTTTACAGGGGGAAGGTATAAGCTGAAAAGAAACAAACCACAAAATAGCAGAACAAAGTTTGCAGAGTTTCAGCTTGAGCACAAGCTCAGAAACAGGCCGGTTCAACACATGGTTTTGAAGGAAAGAAGCTGCCATACTGGAATTAGATGTTTTAAGGGTTTCAAGTTAACTGCTTGACTATGTACATATCACCAAACAATTCGGACTTGTGACTTTGTACTGTATCAACCTTGCTTCACTGTGACACACAGGGACAGCACAATTCAACACTAACAATGATTTTTCTTCTGCCTACAGAGTGTAATAGGATGGTACAAATTCAGACGCAACACAGACCAGACCATGACATTCCGGGAGAGACTTCTCCATAAGAACCTGCAGTCACACCTATCAAATCAGGGTCTTGTATTCCTTCTATTAACCTCTAGTGTGATGACAGAAAGTTGTTCTACTTACAGACTGGAACATGCCTTACATCGGCCACAGGAAGGGTAATAATTGGTTTGTTTTCTACAGTGTGTGCTCTAACTTGAAACAGTTGTTTGTTTTTTTTTTCTTTGTTGCAAATGAATTATTAACACTGTTTATTTTACCCTTGAAACCTATACATTAGGTAAGATCCCTCCTTATATTGCTAGAGCACAGTTCAAAGCTTACCCTGGGACTCTATTCTGGGCTGTCCCTTTATATCTGTAGTGTCAGCATCACCAGGCAGACACTGTCAGCATATTTATGTACATAAGCTGTTCTTGATCAAGTTGGTTTTCTGTATAGGACTTCAACCATCCATGGTGTTTATCTTGACATATTAAGATATCTAAATTGGTGCTAACTATTTTCAGAGACATGCTGCCCACAGGCTGGGCTTAACAAGCAAGTATTTCATTATTGTGTATCGTACTCAGAAACAGGGGAAATAATACAGGCTCAGTATCTGGTTGTTCCTGGAGTTTGCCTTTAGCCTCATCTGCGTGTCATGTAATACATTTAGCAAGGACTAACTATACTGTAAACCCCCATCTGGGTTGCTTAACAGTCAAGAACTGTTAACTATCAAAAAGAGGCCTCTGGATGTTAATAGATCATGTTTTGATACTTCTGCTTTTTAAGTCTTTTCCAGAAAGTCCCTTTGGTGGTTACCAATCTGGGTATGGCAGAACAGCAAGGCTACAGAACAGTGTCTGGCTCCTGCGTATCTTCTGGCTTTGTGAGAGCAGTAAGACAACACAGGTACAATGACATATCGACTGACAGCTGTTGCTTCCTGTTAACATAACTATACTTACCTTTCTATAAAAGCATTTAAGTGTTTTTGCAAATGCTACAGCTATATCCTGCTCACTTTTTGTCCTTTATCTGCAATTATTTAGCATTCCACCACACTTGGAAATTAGTTCAGTCCCATACTCTGCCAGGAGAGCAGCTGTCTGTCTCAACATAGGCACCTGCTACTGAAGCTCAAAATGCTTATTTATTCTTTAAAGCTCCTACTAAGTAAGCACTGGGATAACTAACTTGCAATTATACAGTTACATTCTTGGCCCACAGGTCAGAGTTCTTTCACGAGGATGGATCCTTGCAAGAGGTTCATAAGATAAATGAGATGTATGCCACTTTGCAGGAGGAACTCAAGGTAAGCCAGGCATACCTGCCTCACCTTTGGTAGTACTACAAAACTGAAGTCAAGCAGAGGGTACAACATCTTGCACTACATGAGAAACAAACCTGTGCCTTGGAAGGGGATCCGAAAGATCAGGGAGTTCCATTCACTATCAGCAGCTGTACATTATGTTCTCAAAGTTGAAGACTTAAGGTTCCATTTGATAGAAGTACACTGATAAATCTTCAAGTTCACTAATAAATTCTCACAAGAGGATTATTTTGAAGGAGTACTATCTGTAGTTTGTTAGATCTTCTTTGCTTAGATAGGAACAAATAAAACATCCTGCACCTCATTCTACACAAGGTTTAAGTGATCTCTAAAATCCACCCCAACCTCATTACTTAAGCTTTTTACTACTTTGTGTCCAACTTAATCGTGAGTACCTTTAAGGATTTTGCAACAAGGTTAAAGTCAGCTTCTGTGAATACTATTACTCTGATCAAATGCTCTTTTTCTTGCAGAAAATATGCTTTACAGTAGAAGTCAGTGAACGATCCGTAGAGAAACTCTTAGCAGAGGTGAGGCAATTAAAAGAAGAAATAAAGAGGAAAAAGCAACAAGGTTGTTCAGGTAAGTTAACCAAATGTAATGGCAGCTTTAGACTTCCAAAGTTTGTTCAATTGGCAGAAGCAGAAAACACTTCTGAACTTGAGGCAGCCAAAACAGCAGGGGTAGGAGTGTGCAAGAGGTTTTGCAACTGTAACTTTTTTTTTTTTCCCCAGGAGAAGGCAGAAACTACACAGGAGAGCCAAAGGAGAATGTTCTCCTTTGTCAGGCACTGCAAACATTTTTCCCCAATTCTGGACTTCAGACATGTATTGTTTCCTTCAAAGGCCAACAGATACTGAAGAACTGCTGTAACATTAACCATAATATTAATGTCATGGACAAACTGACTCTCATGGTAGAGGAAAGAGACTTCACTGAAGCTGAAACAAGACATCTAACCAAGCGTAAAGTCAGAGGGACCACAACAGTATCAAAGTCATTCAAGAAATCCAGATCATTGCAGCTTCACCGAGAATCACTTGCAGACCCAGAGGACAGTGACCAGGACAGGAAGCTTGCACTGAGCAGCACTGAATCGGACGAGGATGTGTTGGAAAAAAATAGAGACACAAATGAATACCCACACTCTCCTACTTTCTGATCTGTTAATGATTTGTCAGATGACTTCACACCAAAAGCTACTGCCACCATATTCAAGTGATGTGTCAATTTACAGCACTGCAGGGATGTATATAACTTAATCCATTTTTGCAAAATGTACAGGGTTTGTTTGGGGTTTCTGTCCAGTGCATGAATCCTGTTCAGCATAACAATGTCCAGATGACATTCCCTCATTTTGCCTTCCAGAGTTCCATCTGTAGTCTCTCTCTCAGGGTTTAAAGACTATGCCAGCAGTCAAATAAGCACATACTGCCTCAAACTAATACAACTTCAAGCTGCTGTTGAAGAAGCAGTACTATCCTTTCCTCAGCAGAATCTGATGCAGGCAGCACCAAATGAAAACAGATAACTTAGAATTAGCAGTCTACTTCAACTGCCACAATTTGAATAGTTTTAATTTATCCTTAGGAAACCAGTACTTGTTCATTTCCCCCCATCTTACAATCCAGACAGGATAAAAAACAGCCACCTAAAGTTTAACAAGACCTGTGAGCTCAGAAAGGGGTCTGGAAAGCTGCCAGTTTCTCTTACTGCCTTAATATTTCATACTTCCTTCAGACAATACATTTTAGAGACTTCATAAAATTAATAAAAATCCAACTGACATCCACCCCTCAGTCAACCACACACTATGCTAGAAAACCACATTTCCAGTAAGCAAGAATATGAACATGAAACACAGTTTTATTGTTTATTTCTTTACAGCATTTTACTCTGGATACTTGATATTACATATCTTGGGGTCTGTGAGAAATTGTGGGTTCTTAAGCACAACTGGCATAAATCCTGTAAAAAGATAAGATGGAGGTATTCTTAATAGAAAAGTAAGCTTGCCTTAGAAAACTCAGAAGCATAATCATACTTACCAAGTACTTGAGCTCTTCTAATGGCTTTTGTAACTTCCCTCTGCTTCTTGTGGCACAAGCCTAAAGAGATGAATTATTTTCAACACTAAACAAGCCATTAGTCTAAAAGGTGAAAGGGATATTACTGATAATTCCCTCTATCTTTGTCTAAGTCTTCCTAGAAAAATGCACATGTGCTTTTACTGTTACATACAAAATGCATACAATTAAGGGATATTTTTATTCCTTGATGCATGCTACTAAGCCAGAGGAATACTCTTACAAAATGTATAGAATTGGTAGCAGTTACTTTTGGAAAGATTGCTGAGGCACAGTTACTTAGACTCAGAAGAACAAGAATATTAACCAGTAAATTTTTAATTTAATACTTCACATACCTGTTATATGTCTGCCATAAATGCAGCCAGTATAAGGAGAAACAAACTGGGAAAGAAGCTACTTAAAAATAAGAAAACCAAAGTCAGTTCAAGAACTTTTTTAAAATATTTACTTTATACTACTACTTGCCCTCTATTTTTCTTTTTTTTTTTTCCATCTGTTTTTATAAAACACAGTTCTACCTAAAGAAAAAGTAGGGCTTGGAACTAAACAGTATTTTCTATGGCGTAATATTTAAGCTGTATGACAGATGGATTGTAACCCAGGACTCTTATTTGGTAAATGACAAAACTGTCACACTAACACACAGAACTAGTAGCTTGATCAGCTTATAACTACATTATTTGGCCCTTAATCTGCACACGTTTTCAAGTTTTAAACTCCTACACATATGAATGGATTTTTATGTTTGGGGTTTTTTTTGATTGTTTGTTTGTTTGTTTTTCAGTTCTTGTGGACTTCTGACACACACATTTAAAAATCATAAACCACTTACCTTCATCCGAGGACATGAGTTTTCACTCACCTGCACATTCTTGTAGTCGACATTTATTTCACATAAGATACATCTTTTTGGAGGCTCCTTGTAAGGGTTCTCCATTCGTATAGGCTGAAATTAGAGAATTTTTAACATCTTCAAGCTTCACCATAAAATAAAGAACATTTGTTACTTTGAATCCTTCAGGCAAGATATACCTTGAAACCAAAAGAGATATTTAGGGCACCACTGAAGTTTTTAAATAACTTCCCTAACTCTGTTTCCCTAACACACTGATTGGTACAGAGCCATCTAAAAGACTTCTCACAGGTAAACAACCTTTTATATTTTAGTAATAATGATACTGTAACAAGTCTATTAAAGCATTCAGTGAGATGGTGCTTACACCTGTTACTAGGAAGTCAATATCTGCAGAAGCTGGTAGTGAGGTAGCTCTGTCTGATAAGTCACAAGAATATTTTTTTGAAAAGTATTTCAAAGCAAGTGGCCTGAGGGAGCTCCTGTCTGCTCACACACTTTAAAGAGAGATTTCCAAGGACTGAAAAGCTCCTCAAGCTTCAGAATACACCCAACACCAAATCCTCACAAGAAATCACAGAATTGTCAGGGTTGGAAGGGACCTTTGGAGATCATCCAGTCCAAAACCCCTGCCAATGTAGGGTCATCCTATTGCACAGGAATGCCCTCCAGGAGGGTTTGGAATGTCTCCAGAAAGGGAGACTCCACAACCACCCCGTTGTGGCAGCCTGTTCGAGCGCTCTGCCACCCTCAGTGTACAGAAGTTCCTCCTCATACTGAGGTGGAACTTCTTGTGTTTCAGTTTATGGCCACTGCTCCTTGTCCTGTCACTGGACACAACCAAAAAACGTCTGGCACCATCCTCTGGGCATCTGCCTTTGAGGTATTTATATGCACTTTGCAGGTACAAGTAGAATTTGGGCAGAGAAGGAATATTTTAAGTTTTTGCTGGTGACAAAACCCACATATTTTTTTAATGTAAACCTAGTGCAGTCTCTTAAGTCTTTTTCTCAGCCATATAGAGGAAAACAGCTGGTGCTACCAAAGCTTTTGCTCCACATTCGGGTTACTGAGGCAGCAGGTTTAAGGACTATAGTTAGAATACTGAAATACAGATCAATGGTGCCGTAACTCTCAGCAGCCGGTGACCTCCTGCTCTGTAACACAAACGGATCCGTAGCCACCAGGGTAAAGCCTTTTCAGACACGGCTGAAAATGGAGAATCGGGCTTTTTCAGCCCGGCCGAAGCCCCTCCTGCGCAGGGTGGGTGGCGGGACGGGGGGTTCGGGGGAGCCTCACCTGGTCGGGGTGCTCGGGTTGCGCCTGGGGCTGCCCCTCGTGCTGCAGGCGGCGCGGGCGCGCCCACAGCGTCGCTGCAAGGGAGAGAGTGACAGGGTTAGCGGCGGCGCGGTGGGACGGGGGGAGCGAGGGACAGGGGGAGGAGGGAGCGAAAGGGACACACCGGGAACCAGCCGCCGCCAATAACCCCGAGCCGACACGGCCCGCGCCGCCATGATACTCGCGCACGGCCGCTTCCGCTCCCGCGTCACTGCCGCCCGCCGGCCAATGGCGGAGCGGCCTGCCCCGCTCGGGGCAGGCGATTGGCCGTCGCGTGGTCACGTGCTGTCGCGGCGGGTTGTTGCCGGAAGTTCCCGTTCCCGTTCCCGCTCCCGCTTCATGGTGGCCGCACCTCGCCCGCGCGACTGGGTGTCCCCTCGTCCTGTCCCGCCGCGGCCGTGACGGCCCCGCGCAGCCCCGGCCGCAGGGCGGCGGCTGGAGCTGGGACCGGGACCGGGGCATGGCCGAGCCCGGCCTCGCGGTGCGGAGGAAGAGCCGCCCCAGCTCGGAGCGCAAGAGGAGCCGCGCCCCGGTGCAGCCCAGCGCCGCCAGCTCACCGGTGGCTCCCAAGAGACCGAGCTCTGGTGGCGAGGGGCCACCGCCGGCGGAGCCCCCGGTAGGGGATGGCGGGGTCCTAGGGCTGGTATCGGGGCGGGGGAGCTCCATCTGGGAGCGTGGAATGTCCCAGACCAAGCCTGCGTGGCGTGTGTCGGGAAGGGCAATGCTTTGTACGAGAGGAGATGATCCCGTTTGGCTTTACCTTTAAACGAACTCATCTCCATCAACTCTCTGTGCAGGCATCCATCCTGCTTGTAGGTTTGGTTTCACTGAGTCAAGGTGTGTGTTCCTTTAGAACTCGACCTGGGTTTCCCCCACAGACAATATCAGAAAAGACAATTTTCTTTTAAGCTGGGGAAGACCTAGATTATTTGCATCTGATGTGCGTGCTGCACAAGTTATGCTGCCTCCTGTGGCGTTGCTTCAGCTTATTGATGCTCGCTGTTCTGGTTTTACAGTGCTGTAATGACAGTGAGGAAGACATGTTTGGTGACTATGACAGCTTCTGTGGAAATGATTCTTTGCTAGCTCAAGTGGATGACATCGAACACAAGTACCTACAGGATAAAAACATGGATGTGAAAGCAGCTAGAGAAATCACAGTTGGGAATCTTCAGTCAGGAATTCATCAGAAAAAACAAGACAACTTCTCTGCTTCAGAAAAGGCATCTGTCCTTAAAGCTGACAAAGAGGGTGCTTGCCAAGTGCGTGACAGAGATCGGGTGGATGGCAGTAGAGGACCAGCTGAATCTCTTTTAGACGACTTGCCATCATCACAACTTTTGTATTTTGAGAAAATGGATGAACTTTCTTCTGCTTTTAGGACATCGCCAGACTCAAAAGAGAGGAGTGAATGTGTGAATTCTTCCTCAGACAAAATCAGGAGCCCGTTGTCTTGTTGTGCTGATGCTGAACACAGGAACAGACCTATGGACTTTTCCTCAGGCTCCAAGTGTGTTTTATTGAAAACTGAGAGTCTTAAAGATCACCTAAAAAGTGCTATGACTGGAAATGCCAAAGCCCAGACTCTGCAGGTCTCTAAGACCAAGCAGCTTAAAGAAGCTGTTTTATCTGAAGAGATTTTTGTTGCTAGGAAAGCTATTGAATCTTCTTCTGTTGATATAGGCCCTTTTTATGGATTACCTAGCAAAGTTAAAGATTTATTCAGACAACTTCGAGGGATTGAAACACTTTATGGTAGTGTAACTAATGGTTTGTTGGAAAAAATTGCTAATAGAGTGGTTGTCTCTTTCACCCATTACCCTATAAAAATATTTAAGGTAATTTTTGATGTAAACCATGTTGGAAAATAGTTGTTTTGGTTTTGTAAATGGCTTTCTTGGTGTTTTAGGTGGGTGAAAAAGGTTTATATGACTTATAGAATATACTGTGGAAGGCTTCACCACTGAAGACTTCTAGAGGTTTATTGAGGAAAAATCCTCAAACACTGGGCTTAAAGTATTCCATGGGAAATGCAGTCATTTTGCTATTGGCTAACATACCCCTGGGATTGCTAATAGTTCCTTTTTGATTTTTCAGAGTGGCAGCATGATTGCTTAATGTTAGAATCTCTACAGCAAAGAAAGAACTTAATATACTCATTGCCAACCAGTGGTGGAAAAACACTGGTAGCTGAAATAATGATTCTCCAAGAACTACTCTGCAGGCAGAAGGATGTTCTGATGATCCTGCCATATGTTGCCATTGTCCAAGAAAAGGTCTGGATACAGTGTTTCTGATACTGCTTTGTTTGATACGTGTATTTTCTGATATGCTTCGTTACCTTGTTGCTTGGCTGGTTTTCAGGAAGCTCCATGATTTTTATGAATATGTGGTGGGAAGTGAGTGAAGTGAGTGACCCCTCCTAGATACTGTTCTGAGGGTCAGTAATTTTGTAATGGAACAGTCATAAATCATGAGGTGAGGATTCTGACTTGTAAAGAAAATTTTATATACATATATTTATATATAAAGTGAATTTTGAAATAATGGTGCTTTTTT